GCAGCCGCCAAGATAAGTGAATTCATCAACCACCTCGAGTTCCTTGTTGGCAAGCGTCAAGGGGTCATCAAGTGGCTGGTGGTCCTGCAGCAACACTTTGCACTTGGAAGGTGCGAAGTGCATACCAAATAATGGGACCACTATAGACAGGCTATTCAGGGTTGACTATGCCACCGCAACATCGTCGAAAAGTAGGAAGATATTGTCCGCATAATCAAGATCAACTAATTTTTCACCAGGCAGCACTTCAACGCCTACATCGTGAGATCCCGCAAGGGAAGACTCCATGATAGAATCCAAGACAAAATTGAACAAAAATGGGGAAATCGGACAACCCTGACGAACGCCACTTGTGGTCGGAAAGCTATCCGATAGGTCACCATAGACCCTGACGCGGTCTGTAGTGTTCGAGTATAGAACACGTAGGAGGTTCACATATTCCGTGGGAACACCTTTCCGCGCAAGTATTTCGAACAGAATCGATCGATCGACTGAATCGAACGCACTCTTGAAATCGAGGAACACAGCTATTGTCGGTCTGTGGTATCAGTGGCGCTGCTCTAGCACCTGCCGCAAAGTGAATATATGGTCTATACAGCCACGCCCTGGGCGGAAACCTGCCTGCTCTTCACTAATCCGAGATTCCAATTCCACAGTCAGGCGACGAAGGAGAATCGGGGTCAGTAATTTTGTCACAACTGGCGTTAGGCTGATACCCCTGTGGTTAGAACAGTCCGTGCGACTGCCCTTCTTGTATAGTGCCACTATAATCGATTCGCTCCACTCAGCCGGGACACTCTCTTGCTTCCAGATACGTTCGAATAGGGAGGTCAGTACTTTGCAGAGGACCTCACCTTCATCCTTAAACAGTGCAGGTGGGAGGGAATCCGGGCCAGCGTCACGAAAACGATTGAGAGCGGTGATCGCGTTTCGGACCCCGGCCTCCGACGGAGACTCTGAACTAACCGTCCATGGCTCGTCCTGCATCATCTGAGTAGAAAGAGGACCGGGAGCAGGGGGCCAGCTGAACTGATCTTGAAAGTGTTCCGCCCAACGAGCAATACGGCGCTCCTTATTGTGTATCAGCGCACTCGCGCTGTCGCTGATTATTTCAATGAAGCCTGGTTTTCTAGGATCAGTGGTGCGGATTAGCTGGAAGAGCTTGCGGTAATTGCCTACTGCTAATGACTCCTCCATTTCCTGAGTCCTACTGGTCCACCAAGCTTTCTTTTCAGCACGAAGGCTCTGTTTTAGTTCACGCTTAATAGCCCGTCTGGTCATATTGTGCTCAGAGCCAGCCGGGAGGTGTCTTCTAGCTTCCAACAGGTTCACCGGCCTCTCGGATATCCAATGACTGGTGAGGTGACGATGGATAGTGCCACAAGCAGATGCTCCTGCGTCGTGCATGGCGGCCGAGATCCTATTCCAATGAAGCTCAGTGTCAGTAGAACAAGACAGCGAAAGTTCGGTGTGCAGTGCGCCTTGATAGGCTTGCCTGACCGAGGACTGAGAAAATTTCCCCGTTGCCAATCGTAGGTGACGCTGGTTGCGGTTCCCGGTAAAGTTCATGGAGAAACGACAGCGTACCAAGGCATGATAAGAGTCGACACAGGTATTCCAGTACGAGCGGCAATCCAGGATGGAACCACGCCACCTGTAACGTATGGCTATGTGGTCAATTTGGGTTCATCGCTGGCCAGCTACAGGAGGACGCCAAGTGGCATTTCGGCGCCCACTGTGTCTAAAAGCAGTGCTACTAAGAAACAGCTGGTGCTCCGCACACAGTTGCAGCAGACGCTCGCCGTTGTCAGTCCGTTCGGCGTTAAGTCCATACTTACCACCCAGCTGAGCTACTGAAGAGCTCAGACGCCCTACTTGTGCGTTCATATCCCCAGAAAGTACTAGAAGATCTGAACTAGTAGCATTGCGTAGTAGCGCGTTCAATTTGTGATAGAATGTGTCCCGGACAGCATTTGAACTGCAGTCGGTGGGAGCATGAGCGGAAATCACAAACAAGTAGCGTTTTGTACTACTTCGTGAATCAAAATTGGCTGATGTCGTCAAACAGGTTGCACATAAACTGCTGTTCATCGAAATCCAATCAACCAAGGATGGCTCAGCCTTGGAGCTTAGAATGATACCTACACCAGCTTGACCCGTGAGTGCTGCATCGGCGTCTCCGGATGCGTGCAACCAAGAACGAGACGATAAGCCAGGTGCAGTTAATTCAACAACCCCATTAAGGTCATTGATCCTAATTTCGGACACACAACACATATCAATACCCAGTGTGTCCAAGGTGCGTGCGAGTGCAGCCTATTGACCTGTTTGTCTTAGAGTGCGAACGTTGAATGTCGTCATGGAAACGGGATAGCGTGGCCATACAAGGAACTTTTGCCGGTAGGCGTCCGATAGGTGCTGTGGGATGGTGACTGCAGATGGTTCTACTCCAGTGGAACTTCAATTTCTGTCAATTAAGCTGGGAATTATAGAAGGACGGTTAGTAATCAGGGTCGGATTGAGAGTAAGAGAAAAAGGTGGAAAAGAAAGAAGGGAGGCGCCAGCAGTAGCATGTTTTCGCTTATCCGCCCTGCTGTATGCAGCAGATAAGGCGACCCTTGATAATCTGCGCGACGGCCGATGCAGGATGAAGTTTATGTTTGAAGAAAATGTCATGGTTGTATGTGGGCTGAGATACTGCCAGGGCGCCCAGACCTAGACAGGAGGACGATTAGGGTCCTCATCCAAAGCCTTTGGCTCAAAACCCTGTCCGCAAGGCAGCGGGGAGGTGGCAATGATTTAGTTTTACAGAAATGGATCCCATTTCAAACCCCCAACCTGGATGATCAGGAGACTGAGTTTGTCTGACCTTTCACCATTGACCAACCTGGTAGGAGTATATATATATATATATATATATATATATATATATATATATATATATATATATATATATATATATATATATTTGCAACAGTCTATGAATAGACACTGCACTATCGGAAACCATGGAACTCAAAACAAGGTACAGAAATAGTAAAAGAAAACACAACACAACACAACAATGTCCACGGTTTCGTCAGAGGGCGAAATACTACCCGGTTGCCCAAGCCGAAGTAGGGTGTTTACTTAGGGGACACCACCCCGAGCCTTTGGCTGAATAGCCTGTCCGCAAGGCAGCGGAGCGAATTCAGGGAATCGCGCCCATTGGGAGCCGGTGACTGATTGATCAGTTCATACGCCTTTCGTTTGTTCCTTTGTCAAACATCAACTTGCATCAACTTGCTGGAATACAATGCTTCGCCAGGATGAAGCAAGGGGCAGTGACTTTATTTAGTGGCGAGTCACGTCCGCCACGTGGTAGGAGTAGCTCTCAAGGTGCCCGGAGGCACCACTCAATATAGCTCAATGGGTCAATGAGGTACGCAAACCGTCGCACCACGTTAAGGTTCAGTCAAGTTGCGACGGCTGGGACCACCAGACATCACGGTCACGGCGCAGACTTTATTTGAGCTGCTTGCTGACAGAACGGGGTACTTCATCATGATAAGACTCCGCTGGGATATTCCTGCGGGGGTCAAATAAATCCAAAGAGCGCGTGGAGATCCAGGACTTCATAGGGTGCTATCCGGAAGAGATCATGGTTCCCCGCATGCACGTCGAGTGTTCATTAATAACTTGCGGTTGGTCGCAGCCGAGTGCACTAGCCACGGAAGCTTGATAACTGTTAAACCAAAAGGGTAGATAGGTTATGTGTCCATCTTACAGAGGTTCATTTTCGGGGACCCTCTGGAACTCATTCAGATGTTCGCAAAAACAACAGCATGGTCTGAATCGAGAAAAGTGAACCAGATGGATCAACAGTCCTTTAAACTACCCCACCACTTGAAACTCATTGCGATATGATCAAACTGAGACTATGATTGATACGCAGAAGGGGGTCGTCAAGTGGCGGAACGTCTCCTCGAATGCCGAAAGTTAATGCTCGAGAGAAAAGGATGATTACCCTCGCACAGTGTGAGAAGTCTCTCTCCATTACCTGAGCAGATATCTTAGAGCGCATGGTGACTGCCAGCAGGTGGTGGATCAGTGCCGGTGGTGTATCGTGCAGTGATTTATGTAACCGTGCTCCTCCAGTGTGAACACATTTTCTCATTAACGCAACTCCCTCAGCCAATTTTGGTAGTGATGAAGCTGACGAGGGTTCTCCCATCTGCTTTCTATAATTCAATGTCAATGTCAACAAGACGGAGTCCAACTGCGTTTAATTTAGAGGCGAGGGCCTCCGAAGGAGTAACGTCTCACGACTGCATACAACCATTGTAATGATTAGAAACCGATGGAGCTGACAATGCTGTCGGCATCACTGGACACAGTAGTTCAGGACAGGACCCTCATAAGACGGCAGGTAGGTATGAACAATTACCCTCAGACAAAGAATTGCTTTTATGCACTTTTCTGGATGCTTTCTACTTGAGTCACTAATACTGCATTTTGGTAGCGCGTAGTTCTCGCAAATTTATCGATTAGCATAGTAACGCGAGTTGAGTAATGGCACGCATGCAATATGGAATGCAAGGTTGCATAGGTGCGCATTAGTTTGCCTGCATTTCAAAACCCTTCTCTTGCGCATTTTTGAGTGCCATTTCAGCGTCCAAAAATGTTTGGTCGGGACTCCGACAGGACTAAACGGGCGCCCGTAAAACGTTAAAAGGACGTCAAACTGACTCTCCAGGCACCCGTGTCGACAGGGAAAAACCCTACGGATCTCAGCATCCCAATGAACAAATGATTAGCACACAAAACAGAACACTACAAACATACGAACCTAAGTAATGGAAGGGGAACGATCAAAAGGTCTACAAAAGTAGTTAACACTCAAATGGCACATTTGAGCGAAAAATAAAACAGCGAAACCATATAGGTTACAATACCCCAGTATTAGAAATAAACCTAATGAATAAAATAATATAAGACACATAAAAGGCGGTGCAACATACCAGGAGGAGGATTGCCGAACCAGATGATCCAGGCGGGCACGCGAAAGCGAATTAAACGGCCTTCGCAGCTCCGGTACAACTCTATTCGTAGTGATGTATAAAAACACACAAAGGATGAAAAATAATAAACTAGATAGCACCACCGACCTGTAAAACTAATTGGCAAATAATTCGCTAAAAGATGCTTTGCATTCAACTGCGGCACTTTATTGGTGCAAGTTCAAGTTCAGGTGGGACTGGAACGATAGGAGAATCTCGTGTGTTCCATTTTGAGTGGAGCGATGAGCCAGGAATTGATGAAGTGCTCAGTTCTTGATGAATATAAAACGGAACATCCGTATCGCACCCTGGCCAACCAGTTAACGCCCACGTTTCCTACCCTAGCGGTGTTGCTTCGTTGGCCGACAAGGCGTGGGAGTTGCTATTTACTTTAGGTGTGAACTTGACGTTTCACGCACCTACATGTTTCAGTCGGCAGATAAAACTGTCGAAGCGCTGTCGGTAGTGAGTAACAGTTCCTCAGCTCAACTTACAGTCGTACTTGTGTATAGAAGCCCTGGGATTGCGTCCAAATAGGAGCTTGACTTTATTCGCTCCCAATCCGCAAACAGGTGTTTGGTACTCAAGGATTTCAATCTACCAGAAGTTTGCTTGGCAGATCTTTCTTGCAACTCTTCACTTGTCCTACCCGGACAGTGAGGTCGAAGACCGGTTTGAGTGTGTTGTCCGCTAATGTGCGCAGTTTGGGGAACAAATTGGACGAGATTCAACTCCTTGCCATGGATAATCACCCTGATTCGATGGCTTTCTCTGAGACCTGGCGGTCCCCGAACATCCGTGACTCGGAAGTATATATCCCTGGATATCACTTCTCCCGAGCAGATCGCCACGGAGTGAGGTCAGGCGGAGGCATTATACTCTATTGGAGGACGAACCGCAAGGCACATTTGCTTGATGCTACTTGTGATATAGATGGTGGCTTCGAAGCTCTGTGGTGTCGTATTCATGACGGGTGTAGATCTCTCCTGGTCTGTGTCGCCTATAGATCTCCCTTGGGTTCGGGAGCTCTTTTACTGGATTCAATTAAATCGCACGCCAAAGGTAAGGACTGCTTAATTGTTGGAGACTTCAATGCACCTGGCATTGACTGGGACTTGCTTTATTGTGGTCTTCCTTTTGACTCTTTTGATGCCCTTCTCCTTCAGACCGTTCTCGATTGTAACTTGTCTCAGCATGTATTTTCACCCACTCGGTTGTTCTCAGGCCAAACGCCGCACATTCTTGATCTAGTGTCATCCCCGATGCCGTCAGATGTCACCGACCTGGTTATTATGCAACCTATTGGTAAGAGTGATCACTGTGCTATTTCTTTCCAATGGGCACGTCGGTTTTCTGTTAATGACCAAGGTGATTTCCGGCGTAATTTCTGGCGAGCCGATCCACAGCGTCTGCAGGAGGCTGCTTCTAACATGGACTGGACCATTCCTCATTTTTTGTGCGTTGACGATGCTTGGACTCACTTTTACTCCAACATGATGTCGCTAATCAACCAGGTTGTTCCCATTTCTAAAAGTAGAGGTCTAACAAGAGGTCCTCCTTGGATTGACAAACAGTTGAGGTCTCTGATGAATAAAAGACGCAAACTATGGGATCGATTCAAGTGTACACAATCGACGGCCGACTACTTGCAGTACAAAACGCTTAGGAACCTTTGTATCCTGAAGAAGCGGGAGAATCGCCAAAACTACGAATTACAGGTAGCTGTGCAGTCCAGGTGCTCCCCCAAAATGTTCTTCTCATATATGATAAGGGGTACCAAAGGTGGTAATGGCATTCCATCTCTGTATTCCAGTGAACACGCTGCCTTACTTCAGGAGGATGCTGCGAAAGCGGATCTCTTAGCTCAACAGTATTCATCCGTTTTTACAAATGAAACTCCGTTTTCTGACGTAGTACTCCCATGCTCATCTTTGCTGGATCATCTCGAGATCAGTACGGAAACTGTTACTCAATTCCTTCTTCAGTTAGATAAGAACACCTCGCCCGGTCCTGATGGCCTGCACCCACTGTTTCTCAAGACCGTGGTTAAGTACATTGCAGCCCCAGCTTGTCAGGTGTTTCGTTGCTCTATTGAATCCGGACGCCTTCCATCAGCCTGGAAGCTGGGTATTGCCAAGCCCATATTTAAAGGAGGGAACCGCCAAGACCCAGCAAACTATCGTCCCGTTTGCCTAACATCAGTAATGTGTAAAATTATGGAACGGATTCTCAAGGGAGCTCTCAGCCTTTACTTCGAAGACCGGAATATGATTTCTACTGCTCAGCATGGCTTTCGTAAGTCACGCTTGTGTGCCACCAATTTGTTAGTTGCCAGAGAGAAATGGGCGAACTCTCTGGATGCTGGCAAACGTATGGATGTTATCTACGTAGATTTCAGCAAAGCGTTTGACAAAGTTCCTCACGAGCGGCTTTTGTTCAAACTTCAAGCAATTGGTGTCTCTGGGAGGGTTTTGTCGTGGATTTCGGATTTCCTTTCAGACCGAATTATGCGAGTTAAGGTCAACAATACGTATTCACCCTCCGTCCTTATGAGCAGTGGCGTTCCTCAGGGCTCTGTTCTTGGACCAGAGTTGTTCAAGTTCTTCATTAACGACCTTCCTGCAACCCTCCGGACCGAATGCTTGATCTATGCAGATGATTTGAAGTTATGGATGGAGGTAACCAGCGCTGAGGATACTGACCGCCTCCAAAATACACTGGATCGGCTGCACGATTGGTCTCTTTAATGGCAGTTGCCTATAAATCACGATAAATGTTCTGTACTCCCTATTGGTGCTACTGAACCATTCGGTGTTTACCACCTTGGTGGTTATTTGCTTAATAATGTGAAACAGGAAACAGACCTTGGTGTTATAGTATGCTGTGATCTAAAAACCACCCAAGATACTTTGAAGAAGGTTGCTGCGGCTAACAGACTACTGTGTTCTATCCGAAGAGCCTTCTCACGACTGACGCCGGAGAACTTCAGACTTATCTTTCCCTCCCATGTGCGTCCAATCCTCGAATATGGATTACCCGCAGTTCATCCAATTTCAAAGCTTGAACATGGCTTGATTGAAAAAGTTCAGCGACGCGGTTCTAAGTATATCTTTGAGTTCCGACGCCTGCCATATCACCTTCGTCTCCAGCATTTGAATATGTTCTCCTTGGAATATCGGCGTCGCCGAGGCGATCTGATCTACGCTCGGCGCATTCTGCGAGGCGAGATAGGAAACGAGCTCCAAGATTTCTTCCAGGTTAACACTGAGTGTTCGACTCGGGGCCACTGCTGGAAACTGTTCAAACCTAGGAGACTCAGACTTCGCTCTGATTTTACACTATCGACTCGTGTGGTGAACGACTGGAACTGCTTGTCTAATTCCGTCGTCAACGCGCATACGGAAGAATGTTTTAAACGATTGTTGGATTTATACCTCTTGAATTTGCAGAGATCTTGTTGTTTCTTATGTAACTGTGACAATTTCACTTGTTAATTGCTGTTGCGCCAACACCTGCTATGATTGGGAGGTGATGGAGCTGACAAAGGTCTTTCCTTCTGCTCTCTATAATACAATGATTACAATGAATGTGAAGGTACTTTCGGGGCAGATCTACTTGAGCTTACACTACAAGTACCGTTGCATCAGTTCGTAGACCTCCCCACTAGGTACATGGGCGCCCAACTCCCGTCTATTTTGGATCTAGTGTTTGCCAAGTCACTAGACTTCGTACGTGACATCACTTACAGCTCTCCCTTGGATGCTAGTGAGCATGTTTCTTTATGGTTCAGGTGTAGTCTGACAGGCGTCACCAGAGATTTGCTAAGCCATTTCCAAACATATGGCGTGCTAACTATCAGGCAATGCGCACCAAGGCTGCTGGGATGCGTTGCGAAATCTCGGTGGTTGATACGGTTCAGGCGGCCTGGGATAAATTTAAATCTTAACTCACGGAAGTATCTACTCCCTTCATCCCGATTGCGAGGAGAAAGGAGACAAGGGAGCGGTCGCCGTGGATAGATACCACTGGCAAGCACCTGCTCCAGGAGCGTTCTAGGTGCTGGTGGACCTACCGTGCTGCTCCATCAACTAGCACCTATGATAGGTACCGCGAGGCTAGAAATAGGTGTAAACAACTCTTAAGAAAAGCTCGGCTGGTGTACGAAAAGGAATTGGCTGACGGAGCTTCGGAAAATCCGAAGACGTTCTTCGCTTATGTTAAGAGACACTGTGGTTCAACTTCGGTAATCCCAACTTTGATGCGAGCAGATGGAACTCGTGCGTATGCGGACTCAGATAAGGCTCGTGTATTTGGAGAGCAGTATGTAGGGGCTTTTGTACGTGAGGCCGCGTTGACTAGCCTTGAACTTGTCCCCAGAGTACCCGAGTGTTCTTATTTAACTGAGTTTACCGCGGTGGAAATGCAAGTCCTTAACTGCTGCAAGAACTGAACCCTTCCAAAGCAGCTGGACCTGATTCAATTCACCCGAAGCTTCTGCATGAGTTGGCGGTGGAACTGAGTGGACCGCTGACGATGGTGTTTCAGAAATCACTTGACAGCTGTACATTACCTTCCGAATGGAAGGAGGCTGTCATCTGTCCGATCTTCAAAAATGGCGACAGGAGTCTGTCAGCCAATTATAGGCCAGTTAGTCTGACTAGCGTCTTGGTCAAACTACTTGAAAAGCTGGTGAGGGATCCGTTGGAATGTCACCTGAATAGATTTAATCTACTCAGTAGTGTACAACATGGATTCCGGAAGGGGTTTTCGTGTTTGATGAATTTGTTGGTTGCTCGTGAAGCTTGAGCCGAGGCACTAAACAATGGCCACGTAGTGGATGTGCTTTTCGTAGACTTCTCGAAAGCATTTGATAAGGTACCCCACTTGAGGCCATCACAAAAGCTGAGGTCCCACGGCGTATCTGCGTTCTTGCAGGGAAGAGAGCAGTGTGTGCGTGTGGGTCGCAGCTTATGCTTTAAGCAAGCTGTCCTTAGCGGTGCCCCACAGGGCTCGGTCCTTGGACCGATGCTGTTCTCCATCTACGTAAACGATCTCCCTGGAGAGGTTGGGGTATCATCCCTACTGTTTACTGATGACCTTACGCTATGGAACGTTGTAAATGTTCCGGGGGGTTCTGAGGCCATACAGCATGCAATGGACAGACTCTGGGACTGGTCTACTTTGTGGCTATTGCCCATAAATCAGCTAAGTGTTTCGTCCTTCGTATAGGAGCAACTTTCCCGCCTTCGAGCTACGTACTCGGTGGGGTCAAACACTTCCTTGTCTCCAATCAGGTAGACGTAGACGTCGTCCATTCCTCGTCTTTGCATTCTAGTGACAACTGGAAGAGGGCCGCTGGTAGGGGTTTAAGAATGTTGTGAATAATACGACTTGCTTTCGGGGTCTTAACTGCCGACATATTTGTGACGCTGTTCTCAGCTTTCGTCCGACCCCATCTGGAATACTGCGGCCATGCTTGCCCGCCCTGCCTTATTCGGGACAAAATGGAGCTCGAGAGGGTTTTGAGAGTAGGTACCAAATTGGTCGAGGGGTTACGGGGGCAATCGTACCCCGAGCGTCTACTTAGCTTGGGTATGTATTCAATGCACTACCGACGGCTTCGAGGAGACCTAATCCTTACTTACCGCATTTTAACAGGGAAGGTTGGACCGGACTTGCGCTGGCTATTTAGCCCGGCTAGGTTGCCTTGTCTTCGCGGTCATCCCATGAAGCTACACAAGCCGCGTTCTGACCGGATCAGGGCGGAAACTCGGTTATCGCGTAGAGTTATCGAGCGCTGGAACTCGCTTCCAGAAAGTGTAGTCAGTGAACCTACGGTTAAGGGTTTCGAGCGTCAGTTAGACGCTCTTGGGTGGCAACACGAAACCTTTCCCTTCTCCTGACCATATCCATCTTCAAACTTTTAGTGCTTAATCTGTCATTCTCTTCACGCATTGGTGTTATCCTTCATTTTAATGACTTTCATTCCCCTTTATCTTCCATTTACTTTCTACTTCTTTCTTATTTCACGTAGCATACACATTTCGGACGTCTAGTGCAGGGTACGTGGGCAGTAATTGGTTGATCAGGGTGTGTTTCGAGTGTTTCGTTTTAGATCTATCAAGAACTAGCACCTTATCATTTCCTGGCTCAACTATTTGCTCAAGAAGGAACACTCAAGGGATTTTCCTATCGTTCTAGTCCATCTGAATCTGTATCTGCTGTGGCAGTCACGTGAAGTAAGCAAAGGATAGGAAGAAAAATCAAACGTACAGAAGAAGGAAGTGCAATTGAAATAAGAAAATAATACCATTACGTGAAGAAAAGCAGAGAAAGAAAACTCGAAGTACGAAGATGCGAGTCACCCAGGAAAATGGAAAAGTTTCGTGTTGCCACCCAAGAGCGTCAAGTTGCTGCTTAAACCCCTTACCGTAGATTCCCTGATAACGCTTTCCGGATGCATGTTTCAGCGCTCGATGACTCTGCGTGACAGCCGGAGTTCCGCCCTAATCCGATCGAACCGCGGTTTGTCCAGCTTCAAGGAGTGACCGCGTAGAACACACAATCTAGCGGGACTGAATAGCTCAGATAAATCTGGACCAACCTTCCCAGTTAAGATACGGTAGAATAGAATTAGGTCTCCTCTAAGCCTTCGGTACTGCATTGAAGGCATTCCCAAACTAAGTAGACGCTCGGGGTACGTCCGTCCCCATAATCCCTCGACTGACCTAGTATCCACTTGTAATACCCTCTCCAGTTTCATTTTGTCCCTTACGAGGCAGGGCGGACGAGCCTAGACGCAGTATTCCAGATGAGGCCGAACGAAAGCCGAGAACAGCCTCGGAAAGATGTCGCCCATCAAGACTCCGAAAGGACGTCGTATTAACCACAACCTGCGGAAATATCTGCTTGCGGCCTTTTTCAAGTTGTCGCCAGAGTGTAAAGCCGAAGCGTGTACGACGCCTAGGTCAACCTGGCTAGACACACGGGGGAGTTCGACCCCACCGACTAAGTACTTCGTAGGAGGACAACCTCCTCCAATTCGAAGAACGGAGCACTTTGTCTGATTTATGGGCAGTAACCATAAAGTAGACCAGTTCCAAAGCATTGGTTGGTAGAGAGCAGAAGGTACTTAACTGTTCAGCTTCGTCACATCCCGATCGTCACGAAGATTCCTGTGATCATTGCGGAACAAAGTTCCGCAAAAGAAGAACTGTGGTTCTATTTAGTGCAAAATTTTCCTGCACACTCAAGGAGTGAAAGGCCAGCGGTCGTTTTGTTGAGAACGCAGCGAGGGGCGGACAAGCTGTTTGTTGAATAACACATGTCTGGTTAACGTAATACCTCGAACATAGGAAGGCGGGTCTAATTCGCGCATGACTTTCCGGCGCGATGCGCCGTTGCAACATTTCACTCACCGAGGACCTGCTTAGGCTGCGGCGTACCCCTCGTGTACGTCGTCCGGTTGATATTCCATCACTCCTCCTTCGGCTGCCGACGTCTCACGATTTACTGGTTCCCCTTGTGTGCCCACATGGATGTCCATACGACGCATAAGTAGTACACCACACTCTGCCCTCTCCAAACTGATGCTGACAGACGACCTCGCACGTAGTCTCTCCGACCTTCGAGGCTGTTCCTTACATGTTGTCGTTTCCTCTGCTCGTTCATACTATTTGCGCAATTCACGAGCGTGGACTCGCCGCCTATCTCCCTGCCATGCGATTGTGTATAGGGGCCTCTACGGCCGGTTACTTCATAAGGTCCTTTCCACTGCCTCTGGAGTTTCCCTAGCTCCGGGGCCGCATGCGCTTACACGTTGGTGGTCTCCGTATTTCACCTCCGAAAAGAATAGGAAATCCATGGACGGTTTTCTCATGTTGACTGGTGATATTTCCATTCTTCGGTTCTGAGTTGGGTTCAGAGTTCGGTTGGCTACCTTTCTGTCGTTCCGTGCTTCCCTTGACAGTGCATGGTAAGTCGGCCAAACTCTTATCTCCAGATCTAGTGGAAGCTGTGGACTGCGACCGTACACTAACTGGAATGGGGATCTCTTGGTGCTTGCTTGCTAAGACGCTCGGTACGCTAGCAACAGTAATGGTAAGACTTATTCATAACCTTCTACTTCGCCGCCAACTATTCTTTAATCGTTCTATTATTCCTCTCTGTTACTCCGTTTATCTGAGGGTGGTAGGAAGTGATCCGTAGCCTCTTAATGCCCATTTGCTCCAAACATATCCGAAATGTTGTTGTTGATGTGTTCTGTGACACTGTAGGAATTCCCTAGTGACCCAAGTGTATAATGTAATGGCTACATCAGGCCATTGAAAGTTTCTAGTAGCGCCATTTTCTGTCGATCCTCTTCACCTCAGCACTTCTACTTATTAGCAACTAGTGGTCGAGGGCTTCACGTATCTCTCTGCAGGTCCGGAGCTTGCTACGTGCCACCCTCTTTCATCCCCAACCTTCATTCTTCTTGACTGTCGGCTCACATTCATTTGCAGTCCGTTGACTTATCCTGGGACACTTAAGGTATCCACTAGCCACTAGAATGCTTCACCCAAATGCCATTGCTAGGTGCGGATACTCCCTATCTCACCTTGTATCATTATCAGTTCTTCGCGTTATCTACGTCACCAATTTCCAGCCGCAGCTAGTCATTGCAGGTAGCATACATATCTACGTTAGAAGCCACTCTGCATCTCTTCAACTTACTCTCTTGAATGGTTAGCATCACATACCTTCACTGGTTTGCTGACTTCTTCTGTTACTGTAAGTATCTAATGAAAAACTAAAAGGCTCAATGGAATTCCGTTGCTGCCCACTGGTTCTCTCACTTAGCACAAGTATCCTTCGTTCTTCTTATCTTCATTACGTTTACTGCAGAGACTCATTGTAGGCTCCATATATCTTTGAGCTTATCTGGAGATACTAGGAGACATTCCTCGTTTCTTCATCCTGTAATCTCTCAGAATGTCTGTATCACTTACCTTCGCTGGCTTGTTGATGTGTTCTGTGACACTGTAGGAACCCACTTGTGACCAAATTGTCTAATGGAATGCCTACTTCTGGCCACCGAATGTTTCTCGTAGTACCAGTTTCTGTCGCTCCTCTTCACCTCAGCACTTCTACTTAGTAGCAACTAGTGGTCGTAGGCTCTATGCATCTCTGGACATATCCGGAGCCTGCCAAGTGTAACCCTCTTGCATCCCCAACATTCATTCTTTATGGCTGTCTGCGTCACATTCGTTTGCTGACCGTTGACTTATTCTAGGACACTTTAGGTATCCACTAGCCGCTAGAAGCCTACACCCCAATGCCACTGCTATTTGCAGATACTCGCTATCTCACCTTGTATCATTATCAGTTCTTCGTATTACTTATGTCACCACCTTTCAGCTGCAGCCAGTCATAGTAGTTAGCATACATATCTACGCTAGTAGCCACTCTGTATCTCTCCCACTTACTCTCTTGAATTGTTAGCATCACATACCTTCACTGGTTTGCTGACTTCTTCTGTCACTGTATCTAATAAATAACTAGAAGGTTCAATGTAATTCAGATGCTGTCCGCCGGTTCTCTCCCTTGCACAATTACCCTTCGTTCTTCTTATCTTCATTACGTTTACTGCAGAGATTCATTGTAGGCTCCACACATCTCTGAGGTTATCTGGAGCTACTAGGAGACATTCCTCGTTTCTCCATCCTGTAATCTCCCAGATTGTCTGTATCACTTACATTCGCTGGCTTGTTGATGTGTTCTGTGACACTAGCAATCCACTTGTAACCAAATAGCCTAATGGACTGGCTACATCAGGCCACCGAACTTTTCTCGCAGCGCCATGTTCTGTCCATCCTCTTAAACCTAAGCACTTCTGCTTAGCAGCAACTAGTAATCGTAGGCTCCACGCATTATTGGAGCTTGCTAAGAGCTGCTCTCTTCTATCTCGAACCTATTTTGTGGCTGTCTGCGTCACATACATCCGCTTTTTGCTGATTTACTATGGGTAATTAAGGGCATACACTAGCAACTAAGAGGCTTCATGCAAATTCCATTGCTGATCACTGATACTCACACTTACAGCGACCCTAACTGTTCCTCGTCTTACCTCTGGCTCCCGTGTTTAGCAGCAGTCCTTCTTCATAAGCTACTATCATCTTTGTGCTTATACTGAGCTGCCGAGGTCCACACTTTTCCCTCCAGGCTCTAATCCCTGGGACTGCGTGCATCATATACAATTGCTGTCTGTTGCCCTAATCAGGTGTCCACTAGCAATTATAAGGCCACACCTAAATGCCATTGCTCATCCGCGACACCTAATTGGCCGTAGTACAGCTCTCTCACGGGCTTCTCCCGGCTCAGGCCTCCTTAATTATATTCCATTAACACCACCGCATGATTTGCGTAGCTGCACGTCGACGCGTCGTAGTCTATTATGCTCTAACTATCTAACAACCTCTTTGTATGCTTGCGCTTTACTTGTCCGCTGCCATTCTATCACGAAACCTCTCTTAGCTTTTTTCTGTCGTGCAAACATATCCAGGTATTCAGCATAAGCCGCTCTTCTGCCACACATTCCTAGACCTTTATCTACCCACTACTTGCTGTATTGTCTTAGGCGTTTTTTACCTGCAATACTCCAAGTCTCGG